TAGAGTGCTGTGGCATCACAGCTCACAGCAGCCTCCCAACTCCTGGGCTCAAGCGAGTCTCCTGCCTCCGCCTCCCAAGTAGCTGGGACTACAGGTGCCCACCACACCTGGCTATCTTTTTGTTGCAGTTTGGCCAGGGCATTTTTTTAAGAGAGCGTCTCACTCTCTTGCTCAGGCTGGAGTTCAGAGGGTACTCACAGGCTGGATTCCACTACTGATCAGCTACTGATAAACATGGGAGTTTTGACCTGCTGTTTCTGACCTAGGCTGATCTCTCCTTAGGCAACCTAGGGTCCTCCACTGCCAGTCACTATATTGATGCTGAACTTAGTGTGGACATCCCATAGGCATCATGTACTACAGCCCAGAACTCCTGGGCTTAAGTGATCCTCCTGCCTTAGCCTCCCAAGTGGCTGGGACTACAGATACCATATGAGCTGCTTCTTTGTTTACATCCTGAGGGAGACCTGATTATGTTGGCAGTCTGAGGGGAAAGGAGTCAGTCAGTAGAAAGGATGATCATTGAAAGAACAAGGTTTTAGGGAATATGGGTAGGGATGGTTAAGGATCCAGGTTAAGCCAGGTATTCCTACGAATGGGGTTCTTCCTCAGGAACAGGGGATGCAATACTCAGGATGCTTTCAGCTACAAGTAATAGCTCAATTTAAGCTAGTTTAAACATGAAAAGGGGAAGTTCATTAGTTGAAAGAATTGAAAAATCAGAGGTAGATTGACTTCAGGCATAGCTGGAACCAGAGGCTCCAGCAATGTCGATTTGAACTTGGTTTCCATCTCTTTTAGCTTTTTTCCCTAAACTGGCTTCATGCTCAGGCAGGTTGTCCTTTGCAAGTAGAAAGATGGCCACCAGCAGAGCCATGCCTCGTTTTACCAGATGAACAATACTGGCATTAAAAGAACATAGCTTTCCCAATAGCTCCAGCAAATGAAGTAGGCTTGAATTTCATCAGCTCAGCTTGGGTCACCCAATAATCATCTGTTGTATAACAGGATTTGGAGCTGGGTGCAGTGGTTTGTGTAGTTTGAGCTGCTTGGGAGGCTGAAATGAGAAGATTGTTTGAAGCAAGGAGTTTAAGAGCAACTTAGGCAATAAAGTAAGATTCTATCACTAAAATAAGCAAATTAAATACTGTAGAACTTCCATAAGTTGACCACCCAAGGGATTGAAACAAACTGCTTAACCTAGAGGTGGTCAACATAAGGAACTAGGCCTGCTATACTGATATGCACATGTGGTGCATGTCTGGTTGATGAAAATTAGGTTAACTTAAGGAGATGGTCAACATAGGGAGGTAATCAACTACATACATTCTACTGCAGTTTAATTAAATAATTTGTCTGGGCTCGGCGCCTATAGCTCAACCGGCTAAGGCGCCAGCCACGTACACCTAAGGTGGCGGGTTCGAATCCCCAGCC